CTGTATGTCCAGAAGTCCTTCACTCCCAGAGCACTCCCAACTATGTGCTGGTCCAGGCCTGCCAAGCACACAGGGTCTGACCCCAGCAGTTTCAATGACTCCCAGAGCCTGCTCTCCCAGACCCTCCTCTGCCCCAAGTCCTTTGTGAGAACCTGCCAATCCAGCAGAGAGGGCGGAGCAGGATGACCTAAGACCTCTGACGCCCCACCCAGTCCTGAAATTCGCTGACGGTTCAATGACCATCTATGAGAGGAACTTTGAAGAAATAATGGGATTATTATTAAGCCGTTTTTAATGATTATTAAAACCAGTCGTATACAGTGTATCGTGATAGCCCTCGACATTCATTATTTAACCTTTGCTAACAAGGTGAGGCTTGGAAGCCACATTATAAGAAACGGAAATGGGTCCGGGGGCCTAACATGTCCACCCTCACATCACTCATGAAGCCTCAGACTGGGATTTGAAGGAGAAGGCGGGTGTCTAAGTCCCAAACTAGAGTTCTTTTTACTATAAATGGATCCTTGGTGGGGGAGGGGAGGGGACAAAAGGAAAGGGAAGGGAAGGAGAAAGGTTTTCTTACAAGCCCTGGACCACAAGAGACACATGCCACTTTCACCCTCATATTCCTTGGGTAAGAATCAGTCAAGGAGTCTCATGATGGTAGGGAGCAGGGGCTGTCGTTGTGGTTCACAAATGAGTTCTTCAGGAAGGGGCCAGCAGCATCCTTCAACATCGTCTAGCCAAAGCCCCCCTGGCAGCCTCTTCATTCTGAAAATCAAGCTTCAGTTTCCTGGGCCCCTGAAAAGGTCAAATCAGTTCAGATTTCCTCCTCCTCCAGGATGGCTTTCCACCCCAGGCTGAGCCAATGGCCCCTCTGTGCACACACTGAACTCCAGATTTTCCTCAATTCCATTGTTCCTCAGGTAGGCCTATGGCCTGTCTTTGCCTTTAGGGCTTGGGAAAGTCAAGATTTTCTCAGTGTTCAGCACAGGGCCTGACCATGTGGGCAAAGTCAGCTAGCCAGCCATGAGAGTGTAAGAGGGGCTGAACAAGGTAGCACACTGTGGACTCTTTAGGCCCTGGTCATCACTGACCTGGGGCTGGGGAAGAAATTCAGTCTCAGAAGCTGAAATCCGGCTTCAAATCCTGAGGCTGCCTCCGACCACCTCTATGACCCACTACTGAAGGCTGTGGTGCTTAGCTTGTGGCCTGGCCCACGGCTCCCTCCCCGCAATGCTTGTTCTCTACCCATGCCTTCCCCTTGGTGGCAGGACTGCCTGGTGTGGATGGTTGTGCCCTGCACAGAGAATGGGGTGCACAGCTGAGGGGGTAAGATGGGGGCTGATCTGCAGCTCACACTCCACTCACCCAGCCGTGTGTCCTGGGGTGGGCTTTGCCTCTGCCTGGCAGAAGGAGCACCTTTCTCCAACCTGCACAATGGCACCTAACAGACTAGGGGCTGCTTGCACAGGGGCTCAGCACATGGAAGGTTATGGGCTGACATGTCACGATGGGCTGGTTGATGAGAGCACTCTCAGCCCCCAGGGGAGCAGAGGGAAGGAGTGAGGCACTAAGTCACTGTTGCTATTGCCTCAAGAAGGTCCAGAGGGAAAGCTCAGGCTCAAGGGGCAAAATCTGACCTTGCTGGATCCCAGGGCCTGCGCAGCGCACGTGTCAGTGAGAAGTCTGGATTCTGGTGTCCCAACACCCCTCGACTGTTGACTTGGGTCGAGTTAGGGCACCTCTATGAGCCTCCGTGGCTCAGAGTGTCAGTGAGACAGTCAGAATACCAAACCCCTTCAGGGCACTCACTCAACTAATAATCTAGAGCCTACTCCTTGTCAGTGTCCTGCCCTGTTTTAAGGTATTGTGAGGATTAAATGGTACACAGCAAAAACCCAGTAAATTCCAGCTACTCTTCCTATTGTGCTGCTCATGTAAATATTTGATGAATGAGTTCCTCCAGGAACCTTCCTTGTCTTGCAAGGGAAGCTGGGTGCATTTCAGGAACGGGCTAAGGCTTTTGCCCCTACTTGCCTTAAAGTGCCAGCGGAGCCTTCCCCTGCTCAGTGCCACTCCCTCCTCCTCCCCCACCCCGCTACCAGCAAGCCGCGGTGAGGGGCCTGCCGGGCCCTCTCCGGGGTTCATGGTCATTTGGTCGCTCTCTGCTGGGTATCTATCCTGGCGGGGGAAGGAGGGGAGATCCCAGTGACCGAAGTGGGCACCGGGTTCGCCAGCGCTAGTTTTCTGCGTTCCCTGGACTCTGCCCTCCTCCCGCTCCACCTCCCGCGCCCGCCCTGCCCCAGCCCCTGTTCCAGCCCCAGCCTCCGCGGCTTGGGCGTTTCCCAACCCTCCCTCCTCCATCCCCCCCTCCGCCCCCTTCCCGGGCGGGCCTCTTCTTGATTCCTTCCTAACATCCTCCTTGTCGCCCAGGCCTGCAGCCCCAGCGTCTCCGCCGCCGCCATGGCCCGGCAGCAGCTCTTCCGCGCGCTGGTGTCGGCGCAGTGGGTGGTGGAGGCGCTGCGGGCCCCGCGCGCGGGGCAGCCCCTGCAGCTGCTGGACGCCTCTTGGTACCTGCCCAAACTGGGCCGCGACGCGCGCCGCGAGTTCGAAGAGCGCCACATCCCCGGCGCCGCCTTCTTTGACATCGACCAGTGCAGCGACCGCACATCGCCCTATGACCACATGCTACCCAGCGCGTCGCACTTCTCCGAGTACGTTGGCCACCTGGGCGTGGGCGCCGCCACCCACGTTGTGATCTACGACGCCAGTGACCAGGGCCTCTACGCGGCGCCACGTGTCTGGTGGATGTTTCGCGCCTTTGGCCACCGTACAGTGTCGCTGCTTGACGGCGGCCTCCGCAACTGGCTACGCCAGGGCCTGCCGCTGAGCTCCGGCAAGAGCCGCCCAGTGCCTACCGAGTTCCGCGCCACGCTGGACCCCGCCTTCGTCAAGACGTACGAGGACATGAAGGAGAACCTCGAGTCCCGGCGCTTCCAGGTGGTGGACGCCCGAGCCGCTGGCCGATTCCGGGGCACCGAGCCTGAGCCCCGAGATGGTAACTGCGCTGGGCGAAGGGGCTGGGAGGTCCCCTGGGGCGCGGGGTCAGAAGCACCCTGGGCACATCCCTGGCCTTTAAAGGACGCCGTATGGTTTTAAAGGACGAGATTTGGTTTCTAGTAGCCTCAGTCTCTGAGCCCCACTGGCTTTATTCCTAAAGTGGGAGCAATAATACTTGCCGCCTCATCCCATGCCACCCCCCCGCCAAGCCCCTCACCCGTGCTTGGGGCGGTGACTGCCTCCAAATTCATTGAGAACACAGGGTGCCCTATGTAAGTATGAGAACCCCAAATCCTATGGGTGTAGGGGTCACTGCAGATAGGAGGGGTGGGGGGCAGGCCCAGTTTGGGAGAAGCGTCAAAGGGGTGGGGCCTGATCAGGTCTGCATCATCCCTGAGGGTGATGGAGTGAGTCCCTGAGAGGAGGGCAGGAGGACTCTGAGGCAGGGAGTGAAGGGAGGGCCCTCATGGGGCCAAGGCTGGCAGAGGGCAGGAGAGAGGGGGCAGTAATAGAGGTTGCTGCCCCACTTTGGGGCAGCAACTCAATAGAGGATGTTTGCTGGCCTGGGTTGAGACAAGGCCTTCTGCCTGGGGCTGGATTCCACAGGCAAGGAGTCTGCGGGGAAGCCCCTTGTGAGGTGGGGAGCGGTCCCCACAACGTAGGTGAGTCAGTGGCCACCTGGTATGAGCTTTTTTAATGATCCCTCAGGGTGGTTGCTGTCACCTCACAGAAGAGGAAATGGAGCCTTAGAATGGTGACCTTGCCCTGGGTGTCAGGAGACAGCCCAGCCAAGAGTTGAATTCATGTAATGTCAATGAGCAGCCAAGAATTCCTCAGACATTTCTCTTGTGCCTGCTTCAGAGAGGATATAAGGAACTTGCCACTTCCCCTGGGACGCTCTCCCCGAATGGCACCCACATGCCCCCACATTGGGGTTAGAGTTTCTCTGTGCTGGCAGAGCAGCTTGGGCCCACCCTGTCCTAGCACTGTTTTGGATGGCCTTAGGGCAAGGACGCCCTTGCGCCCTGTGCGTCTTGAAGCTAACCCAGTAGCTCACACAGAACCGATGCCTCAGACAGGTTTGGTAAATGTGGATGGTCCCTGCCACAATAAACCCTGCAGAGTAATGTTACTTTATGCCAAACCGTGGGAAACTGCTGATATCCAACCATCCAGCCCCAGGCAGAAGGCCTTGTCTCAACCCAGGTGGGAAACTGCTGATATCCAACCATTTTTGAACCTACATATGTGGCAATTTCATACAGTTCAGCCGAATAAGGATGCCACCTTAAACTTGTTGGGTCCTTCCGCTCAGCCCCCAGGGCATGGAGGGGTGGGGACAAGGGAGTGGAGCAACATAGGACAGTGAGCAGGAGCCAGACCTGGGTTCACATCCCTGCCCCAGGTTGCGCTGGCTTTGTGACGTCCAGCAGGTCTGGCAGGTCGTCTGATCTCTGAACCAGAGCTTCTGCATGTGTAAAGTGGGAGCAGAACACAGAACTGAAGGGATATGATGAGGGTCAAATGTCAAACGGAAGCAAGTGTGCAATGCACTCGAGAAGTAGGAAGTGGTGTAATTAATGTGTGCTTCTCTGGTTATGGCTCTTTATGGAGGTTCTTTACTTACCCCGGTCTGCTTGCTCATCATGGCATGGGAGATAAGGAGATACACCTGGCAAGCTTGTTGTCAAGGTGGACGAAGCTTGTGTAAAAGCTGGATCCAAACCAATACAGTGATAGGACATCACTGTTCTCATCGTTCCCACTCCACAGCCCAAGAGCTGGCCAAGCGTGCCTATAATTTGCCACTTTGGTCCGGCAGGGAGAGGAAGCCTGCTTTGCTAGGTGGGGTTCAGAAATGGGGACAGCCCTACTCTGACAGTAACCAACCTGTGTTGAGAGCTCACTCTGCTTCCTTGCTCTGGGATGGTCTCTATGTAATGTCTCTGGCTGAGTCCAGTTTCTGCATCTGTTAAGTGGGAATCCGTGTCACATTCCAGTCTCGCTGTGGACTCTGAGTGCTGTCTGTCTATACATGAAGTCCCGTATCGTGTCACTCCACTGCAGTAGGAAACGGAGGCAGAAGCCACCCTAAAGTCGGAATGGCTGAGATTTGAGTCATTGCCTGTGAGAGTTTATTTTGTTGCACTTCTCAGTCCTCAGTGTGAAAATGGGACCATTAGGAACACCTGCCTAGTAGGGGGTGGTGAAAACGAAACACATGTTGGGAGCCCTGGGGAGGTCTGCGGAGTTGTGGATGAAGAAATGACCCTCCTCCTGACCTCGCCCAGGTTCTCGGTGCTTCAATCAAAGTGATCTTTGGAAACCGGAAGTCTCATTTCCCCTCACAGTCATGTCAGAGCTCTGAGTCTTAATCCAGGCCTGCTAAAGTGTTCCCATCCCCCTGGGTTTCCCCTTGGGCCTCCCTCCCCACTGTCTAGGCTTATGCCACGATGACCTTTAACCCCTCTAAGCACCATGCTATTCCCTGCCTCCTAGGAGCCCGTCTGCCTGGGATGCTCGCAGCGCCCACGGCCCAGGCGCCTCTGCCTGGCTGCATTCTACTCACCCTTCGGGGCCTTCTCAGAGAAGCTTCCCCGGTGGCCACATGTGGCTCCGGCATCACAGCATCCCCCCCGCCCCCAGGCAGTGCTGCCTGATGTTAGCACACAGGCCCTGGGGCCTCTCTGCCCCTGCTAAGTTGGACAAGTTAGTCTGTGTGCCTCAGTCTCCTCATCTGTACAAAAGGGAGGGTAGTGATTTTTTTCCCATAGAGTTTTGGGAAAGATTAAAGGAGAAAATGCAGCCGAGGAGCTCAGAACAGTGCTGGGCACAAAGCGAGTGCTTAGTAATGTCAGCTGTTATCTTTTATGATGTGCCCCCCTGTAGTAGAGCCTTCTGATAACATTCATTATACTTGTAATTATGCTGTATTGCCTGTCTCCTCTGCCAGATCAAAACTCCTTGACTGTAAGTGCTACCTGTCCTAGTGAGGCAGAAGTCTTATTTATCTTTGTTGCCCCAGGGCGTGTAGTTGGTCCTCAGGAAACCTGGGGCAGGGTGTGGCTCTGGTGGACTCTGAGTCTTGGGTTCAAATCCCAGCCAGCAGTTTGCTAGACGCACGACCTTGGGCAATATTGAACTTCAGCATCTCCGTCTGTAAAATGGGAACGCCTGTAAATCGCACCTGGGTTTCTTCTTGTGAGGACCATGTGAGATGGTGCATGTGGAGGGTTTAGCGCCCTAGCTGCATGGGAGGCTGTCGGTACCACGGGGCCACTCATACCTGCCTTGTATTTGCTCCTTCCTGCTGCAGGCATCGAACCTGGCCACATCCCCAGCACTGTGAACATCCCTTTCACGGACTTCCTGACTGAGGAGGGCCTGGAGAAGAGCCCCGAGGAGATCCGCCGCCTGTTCCAGGACAAGAAGGTGGACCTGTCCCAGCCCCTGGTGGCCACCTGTGGCTCCGGCGTCACAGCCTGCCATGTGGCACTGGGGGCCTACCTCTGCGACAAGCCCGATGTGGCCATCTATGATGGTTCCTGGGTGGAGTGGTACATGCGTGCCCAGCCTGAGGAAATCATCTCTGAGGGCCGGGGCAAGACCCGCTGAGGCTGAGTAGGACATGACCGGAAACTCAGGTGACATCCGGCTACCAGCTGTGCCCAGCCTGGTTGTTCTGAGGCTGCTTCGACTAGGAGAGCATTTCTTCCTCCAACTCACGGGGTGGCACACGGGGTGACATCGCAGAGGCCAGGAGTTCCGTTGACTCATAGGCTCCCAGGGGAGGCAGGAGAGAAGGTGGCAGTGGGCACTGGGGAAGCGGTGCTGAGGTGGGCCCCACCTCCCTTCTGTTTTACTGGTGAGAAAATAAAATAGCCAAGTGCTAAATGCTTCTTCTTACAGGGCTGCCTCGTGCTTCTTCTTACAGGGCTGCCTCAGTTTCCTGAAGAGCCAGGGGTTCCAGCACACCCATAAAAGGGGGTTCTGTGGAGCCTGAGGGTCTTAGGGATCCTGTCCTTGCCTCTGAGCAGTGCTGGGACCCCGAGCCCTTTCATTCCTGTAACTGCAATGCCCCCAGCAAACCGACCTCCACCCCATAATGCTGGGGTCTCCCTTCTGGCTTCTGGGCCAATTAAGGTGAATCTTGCCGTGCTATGTCTGGAGTCTCACCCAAAGGCCCCAGCGGGGAAGCAGTACATCTCATTTCCAGACAGAGATGGGTCCAAAACTTTATAGGAGGCTGTGGCACACTGGGGAGGCCTGTCCCAGCCCATCGGGGTGTACTGCAGGAGGGCTGAGTTTAGCTGAATTGGAGGAGAATCTAATTTTAGACTCTGGGAGTCTACACTTGGAGGCTAGCCTCCAGACCTCCCAAGGGGTGGGCAGGCCCAGGAATTCCATCCTTTTTGCTCAAGGAAAACCTCTTCCCCCAGGCTTCCCAAGAGGAGGGCTCTGTTCTCCTCCCTCTGGCTTTGTCTTCTGTGCAGAGGTAGATAGAGGTGCCTGAGAAGGCCCCAAATGCCCCATGTCAGAACCTGGGTCACCCCTCCTCATCTTCAAGCCCCCAAGGCATCTCTCAGCAAAGAGCCAGTCCGGCCAGTATTGGGGGGAACCCTAGAAGGAAAAAAAACAGAGGGACAATAACTTTCCCAAGGTCGCACAGTGGATTTATGACAGAGCTGGGACCAGATCCAGATTTTCTCACTCTGAATTTATTCTTCTTTCCACCTACAACCCCCATCACATTTCCTCCAATGATGCTGAGTCGTCTCCCAGGTCCACCGTGGCGGGGGCAGCCAACAGGACAGCATCCTGGTTTCCTGATAAGAGCTCTGAAGTCCCAACCTCTCTGAGCCTCAGCTTCCTCGTCTGTAAACAGGAATAATATGGACTTCAGAAGAAGGGATTTCAGACAAGCACCAAGCAAGAGCCCATTGCAGAGTCCTGCTTTTCTGGCTCAGGGTTTCTCAGCTCCAGCCCTATGACATTTGGGCCAAACAGTCCTTGGTTGGGGGGCTGTCCCGTGCACTGTAGGATGTTTTGCAGCATCCCTGGCCTCTACCCACTAGATGCCAGTGGACCCACTCAGTTGTAACAACCAAAAAGATCTCTAGGTATGACCCCTGTGGGGCAAATGTCCCCTGTGGGGCAAATATCAACCCCAGTTGAGAGCCACTGCTGTAGAAGCAAATAACACAGCTGACCACAGCCCTCGGGAACAGTGTAGACAGAGATCCTAACCTTGGAGGACTCTCTTCCTCCAAAGACTAAGTTTAGCAGCTGAGAAACCTTCCTTTCATGCCGGTGTCAGACAAGCCTTGTTTCCTCTCCCAGGAACGCTCTTGATTCTTCAAGGAGAGGGGTTTGTCTACAAACACATGTGAGTTTGTGATCTCAGCTACCCCATGCAAGGCTACCTGGCCTTGGACACACTGCTGAGCCTCTCTGAGTCTCAGTTTCTTCATATTTAAAATGGGAGTGATAGCACCTTCCTTGAGCAATATGGGGATTAAATGAAAATCCATAGACACTGTTTAGCTTGGTGCCCATCACAGTAAACGGCATGTGTTGTTGTTGTTATTTTTTAAAGGACTTTTACTAATTTAGCATGTTGAGTGCCTCCTGTACTTCCAGCATTGGGTGAGAGAGAGCAATGAATATGAAAATTATGTGTTTGCCTGGGAAAACCTTCCCAATCAGGGAGAAAAAACAGGCCCATTGTGTCATATTTCCAGAGAGAAGGGAGTAATGTGAAAAATCTATTTTACAAGTGAGCTCAGAGAGGTTGAGTGATTTGCCTAAGGGCACACAGCTAGCTCAAGAGAGGAGGAGTCGGAATTCTCAGGGTAGGAGCCTCGCTCGTGGGTCTAACCTGCAGTGGTTTTCCAGATTTGGGGATCCAGGGGAGAATGGAGTGTTTGAAAATGCAGGGTTTGAAAACACATGTGACAAGCTCATGGAAGATGGCCATGTGTCTCCCCTCAGCCCCACCACGAGACACCTTGAGCCATGGGTCAGTGTCGCCTGTGTTGGTCACACCCACCACAGGATTTAAGCAAGGGAGTTTGGTTGGGCTCCCTTTCCCCACCCGAGTCCACCCCGCTCAGCGAGGAACCCAGGCTGATCCAAGCTGATGCTTTTTTTTTCTTCCTGGGAAGGTTCTCAATGGTTCTGCACAGGTTCAGAGGAGACCTGCCCAGAGGTGGGAAAAAGGAAGTTGAGGCTGCCTTACTAGGATGCTCAGAACTTGGGTTTAACTTTGCAGGAGCTGGCTGAGAATAATCCAGGGCCGCCCCGAGCTCCGCCCTGCCTCTAGCAGGCCTGAGTTCTCAGAATAATTAACCACTGGGTGCAGGGGCCCAGCCTCCGCCAGTGTCACCTGTGTTGGTCACATCCACCACAGGAGTTCCAGGCAGGAACTTGCAACACCTGCGCGAGGCTGATGAAATTTTTGTCCACCGGGCAAATATTTGCCGAGCACCCCCTCCGTGTTTCCCAGCCTTTTCTAACCAGCTGCACTGGAATGTGGCCATTCCCTCGAGGGATTGTAGCCCAAAGAGGCCCCCACCCCACACACCATGGAATCAGCTCTGCACGAGGCCCCAGAAAGGTCTGCCTTCCAGACCCTTCCAGTTAGAGCCTCAGCCATCTCCTCTGAAAAATTGGAGCAAGCTCAGCCCTGCCATGCACACAGGGCGGGTGCGATGTCACGTCAGGTGAAGCTCAGCAATCAATATAAGCCGTCACTCCTACCGAAGTCACCCAGAGCTTTGTCACCCGTTAACTCGCAGCGGATGAGTCATTTGGGAGGAGATGAAGTTTTCAGGTCAACTGAAGCTTTATAATTTTGAGCACCAAAATTTTTACCATATTAACCTATTAGGGGGTGGAACGTGGTATACTAAGGGTACCCGAATCCTTGATGGCTTTGTTTCACCCTTCATCACACGGTGATGCCTTCAGGGCTGTGAGCGGGGCCCAGCTGATATGCTTTTCCAGTGCTCGAGTCCTTGCAACTCAGTACTCAGTCGACCTTGCTGACTCCTCCAGAGTCACCAGCTTCTAGGTGGGCCCACTCTCTCTGGACGATGCCACCTATTCCAGTGGCTTGAACCACTGTGTTGAGCTGGGGACTCTCGAATCTGGGCCTCCAGCAGCTCGTTGGACTAAGATCCTTGTGTCCACTGCCTGCTCCTCAGTCCAGGTTCCTGGTCTCAGTATGCACAGCCACTATCCAGGAGTCACCTGTGCCCAGACCTGGCAGTGAATTCTCCTAGACTCCACCTCCCTTGCCCACAGCCGGTCAGCACCAAGGCCTGTGAATTTCTACCTCTATTCCCACTGCCTTGGCCCAGGTCCCCCACCTACCACGCCCAAGACACACACACATGCACAGTCTGTCCTAGCCATTAATCCAACACACCCTCAGGGACAGGCCTTGTACCAGGACCATGGAAGATGAAGACAGACCCTCAGAGGGGAATCGGCCTAATAGGGACAGACAGACTATGACAAGCATGGTGATGAGTACCTGAGAGAGAGCACACAGAACAGGAGACGGGGAGCGGGCAGTCCTGGGTCTGAGAGGCACCTCCACCCAGGGCTGACAGCCCCTCTATGAATTCCTGGGCCATGTCCCCTTGCTCCATGCAGAGATGCAGCAGGGGACAGGGTTCAAAGCACAGCCCCTGGAGGCTTCCAGATCTCCTGCTCCCTGGCTGTGGGTAGGTGCCTTGTTTTCCTCATCAGTGACATGGGGATAATCTGGTACCCACCTCATGGATTCACACAGAGCAATGAGAACAGCCCATCGCAGTAAGCACTGCATACATGTGCTATTACTATGACTAATATTCTGTCCTACTAATCACTCCCACCTTCCTGTGCTGACCCGTATGTCCTTGAGGGTAACATCCTATTCATGGTTCTCTTCCTGGCCTTAGCATGCGAACGGACACGGACAATGCTGAATGAATGTTTGGTGTATATCCTGGTAGGGCTGAGAGAGACCCTAATAATTCCTCCTATTTATTGAGCACCTTTTGCATCCAGAGAGGATGTTAAGTGTTTTATATCCAGTTAATCCAACAACCCTGAGAAATAGGTATTATTAGCCCCCATTTTTATAGGTAAGGAAGGTAGGGGCTCAGGTCAGATGACCCACCCAAAGTCACAAGAAGGTGAGGGCTGGGATTGAAATCCTGGATGGAATGACTATAGGGCATTCATCTCCTGCAAGACAGAATTGGGGAAGGGGTCATAGGAAAGGGGTAGGGGTACTCTCTGGGTGGGGGAGGTTTCATAAGCCCCCCACAAATACATTCACATGTACACATGCTCACACCCTTGTTCACAGGTGAGGAGTAAAGGAACCAGAGGCTAACCGACTTGCGGACTAGACGTTTACTCTGATACATTTCTCCAGGACTCTTGTATAAAAGACGTGTTCCCTCTCTTTAAAGTATGTGGTAGCATCGGCAGAGAAAAATGCAAGGAAGAAGGCAATTGGGTGCTCAAAACCAGGCACAATGATTAACCGAAAGCATGAGATAAGTTGCAGAATCACGTGGTTCAGAATGAGATGGGAGGGGCCTCCAGGAGGTCTCAGGTGAGCTGGATACCAGGGAGCCTCCTGGAACTGGTGCAGTGGGGAGAGTTATTAGCCTGGTAGTG